TGCGATATGCCCTTGCGTATTTATTAAAAAAATTCCATCGGGATTTGTGATAATTGATGTATATGTTGATGACCTAAATATAATTGGAACTCCAAAGGAGATTGATGATGCACGGACTCATATGAAAGAAGAGTTCGAAATGAAAGATCTTGGAAAGACAAAATTTTGTCTCGGGCTCCAAATTGAGCACTTTCAAGAAGGTATATTTGTGCATCAATCCAATTATACAAAAAGGATTTTAAAACGCTTTAATATGGATAAAGCGAATCCTTTAAGTACTCCAATGGTTAATAGATCTTTAAACGTTGAAAATGATCCATTTCGACCTTGTGAGGATAACGAAGAATTTCTTGGTCCCGAAGTACCTTATATGAGTGCTATTGGTGGACTTATGTATCTTGCAAATTGTACTGGACCAGATATTGCTTTTGCTACTAATTTGCTTGCAAGGTACAATTCATCCCCTACTCGAAGGCATTGGAATGGGATAAAACACATCTTCCGCTATCTTCAAGGTACAATTGATTTGGGATTATATTATCCTAGAAACTCCGAGTTTGGTCTAGTTGGTTTTGCAGATGCAGGGTATCTATCGGACCCTCATAAGTCTAGATCACAAACTGGATATGTTTTTACCATTGGAGGAACTGCAATCTTGTGGCGTTCTCAAAAGCAAACGTTAGTAGCTACTTCATCAAATCACGCAGAGATCATTGCTCTTCATGAAGCGTGTAGAGAATGTGTATGGCTTAGATCTATGACTAACCATATTCAAGAAGCAAGTGGATTAGTCATCAAAAGAGAGCCAACAAGACTATATGAAGATAATGCTGCATGTGTTGCTCAAATCAAAGAAGGCTATATCAAGAGCGACAGAACAAAACATATTCCTCCAAGATTCTTCTCCTACACTCAAGAACTCGAGAAGAATAAGGAAGTCGACGTTCAGTACATTCGTTCAAGTGACAATGCAGCAGATCTATTCACAAAGGCGCTTCCAACTTCTACATTTAGAAAGCATGTTCAAAGTATTGGAATGCGTCATTTACGAGACCTATGAAGTCTTTTCGAGGGGGAGTTCACGTCACTGTACTCTTTTTCCCTTGTCATGGTTTTTATCCCGATGGGTTTTTCCATGATAAGGTTTTTAACGAGGCAGTACGTAACTCGGCAATATGTGATGGAGACTCAAGGGGGAGTATTGTGAACAATTTTTTTAATGAGGCAGTACGCAATAATGTAATTAAGGGGGAGTGTTAAAATAGGATAATTACATTTATCATTATCACTTTACCCTTTTGACCTCTAGTAGCTTGGCCCCTAAGTAGTTTGGCCCCTAAGTTTTCATCCCCTATAAATACCTCTTATTTGAGAAGTAGAGGATGCACGCAAAAAATAAGAAACTCAATAATACAAGTTGCTCTCGTTTCTCTCTTCTTCTTCTTTATTATTATAATATTTTAGCATTTTATTCAACAATAATTACATTTATCATTATCACTTTACCCTTTTGACCTCTAGTAGCTTGGCCCCTAAGTAGTTTGGCCCCTAAGTTTTCATCCCCTATAAATACCTCTTATTTGAGAAGTAGAGGATGCACACAGAAAATAAGAAACTCAATAATACAAGTTGCTCTCGTTTCTCTCTTCTTCTTTATTATTATAATATTTTAGTATTTTATTTAACAGTTTTATTATTTTTTAAAAAAGTTTACATAGTTCTTGCTAGTATTTTCTATCAAATTGATTCGGATACATAGATTTTGGTCAGAACACGAATTAAATTATTATAAATGGTTTTTGATTTCTAAGTGATATCATATCTCTAGTCCACTTTAATATGCCCTATAGCATTTGATGTAACCTTAATAGAAGAAGAGAATGCAAAAGTTGAATCATAAAAAGATTTCAAGATCTTTAATAAACTGGCAAGTAGGAGGAAATAAACCAAAAGCAATGATATACCAAAACAAACATTAAATAACTAATAAGATCATTAATAAACGCATGAAAAGTCATACAGACATACAATAGTCAGACTCAGACATGCATGATAGATTAATAGATATCCTAAAAACATAGATAGAGCGTTAACTTCACATATATAGAGCGTTAACTTCACATTTCAATCTCTACGCAACAAACAGAGTAGGTAAGTCCTAGAGTAGTAGACATGGCATGGTAGATATCCTAAAAACAGGGATGGTTTTTGATGGAGTTAACAACTTCACATTCGATCTCTACCTCCAAAGTACCTTCACGGTCCAAGTAAGCCCCCTGAATTTTATCTAAAGACATGGATTGGGTCTTACCCCACGCTTTGTTCGAGTTCAAGAGCCAACTTTTAACTACAAAAACAAGAAATCTATGTTAAGTACATTAGTTATAAACTTAAAACCACTAGTTTATAGTCAAAGGAGCAGGACATTTGACATTATAAGTTAAGAGCGCCTATTGAAAATGTCTAATTTATCCCATTCATCAGCGCTGACAATAAACATTGCGAGATAATAACATGAATATTTTTCGACTTACGCCATACTGATAGGTGATTGGATCCACGCGGGTCTAGAACCTTCAGGTTTACTCGCACGAAAATCAGCTCACCCTTCAATAAAGTATCATTGTCAGTTAAATGCAAATGCTGGGATAACTCGCCATCTGCTCTAGAGTCCCCCTTTGGATACAAAGTTAGAGTCCTGTAGTAAGACATTAACATCCACTTGTTAGCTAGTTAACACTAATGTACACACATACAACAATAAATCAGAAAAGGAAACTTCTGATAAACTCACCAATCCTTTTCTCCCATGTGAAAGGTTTTCGAAACGCAATCATTCTGTCTGAGAAGAGAGAAATCACGAATAGTCCAAGAGAATTTGTGAAAAGGGAGATCTTCACCAAAGGAGTCGGGTCGTGAAACAATCTTCACATGAGCTCCAAACTCATGTAGTTCTCCGTACAAGATAAATCCCTTTGCACGGTCTTTGAGTGCTTCAATCGAAAGAGCTTGTGACAATCCCCAAACCGTTTTTGAAGAATTGAAACGCTTTACTTCAACATCTACAATGTTAACATGTATATACACATATCACTGATTCATTCCCATATATATATGCATACGAGAGAAAGAGAGAGATAATAAGGGTATGAACATACGAACCTTGAATAGAGAGGTACTTCTTCTCTTCCTCGCTAAAGACAAAGAAAGTGAGACGAAGAAGGAGAGAGAGCTTTGAGCCTTTGAGGGATTCTGTGAGTGACTTGTAGGGTTTAGATACTATTTTTATATGACGGGCCTAAAGCTACAAGATTGGCCCAGCTCGTTTTTTTTAATCTTTCTTCTGTTTCACTACGGTGGCCTTTTAATTGTTTTAATCTTTTTGAATTTTTTTTTATAATAAAAGATTGATTCTTAACAGATTTCCAAAAGATAGGAAATGGGAAAAATGAGTTTATCATAAAATTATTACTTTTATTCCCATTGGGTTTTTTTTTTTTTTTGAAGTACTCTATTGGATATTTTAATATTTTGATAAAATATACTTTAAGAGCTACTTAATACTTACTAAATGTTGATTAAATATTTAATTGAGATCTGATTAAACTGGTTATTGCAAATAGATTTATTAAGTTTATATTCAAAAAAAGTTAATTATAATGGTTGTGTTATAATTTTCCATTTTAAAAATAATACATGTTGTACGTAATGAATAATCTGATGAAAAACACTTAAAAAGTCTACCATGAATTATCTATACTATTAGTCAAATTTAAACTATAAAACATCTCTACAATAATTAATTGAGAAGTAGAAACGCACCACATTCAAAGTTAGGGCATTGGAGGCCTGTGATTAAAAGTTGGAATGATTTGTCCTAAACACCCTTAATGAATTGTTCTTCTCGAAATTTCTTCTTCTTCGAAATTAGGGGTATATAAGTCTAATCGTGTGTTGATCTCTATAATAATGTCCTAAACATCCTCGATTTCGAAAATTTTTGTTCTTAATTGTTAAGGGTATATAAGTCTAATCGTGTTTTGAGATGATTAGTCTTAATCACCCTTAATTTTTTTTATTTTATAGTGTAATCGTTGGGGATACGGATGTCATAATGTCTCGACTTTAATGATTATGGAATCTTAGCTTAAATTTATTTGTTAATTTTTTGGATAATTCTATATCTTAGTAGTTAAAATTCGTTTTTGTTAGTTTTCTGATTTAGTTTCTAATTAAAAAGTTAAATTTCTTAAGATAATGATTGATGTTTGCCCTAATCTTAAAGCTATATATATGGTTGATCGGCCAGAGAATTATGTATTATTTTTTTTCTGTGGCCATTAGATAGTTTTCACCGTTATGGTTTTTTTATACATCAACGATTATGATGAATCAAGTTGTTTGTCATGCAAATATTGTTTTCATTCACCTTTAGAGGTTGTGTGCATATTGTTTGTGTTGTTTGTTTTATTTTTTTTGCATTATTCGTTGATTTATTGTTTTGCTGATTTGTTTTTTTTGGTGTGTGTTTCAGTTTTGTATAACGTGGGAGGTTCCATCGACAAAGCGCTCCGACGAAGGTGGTGTTGACGAGCAAAGAACGAGGTTTGGGAAGGTACTTCTATAGTTTTAGTTTGTATATTTTTATATTTATTTACCTATATAAATTTATGTGTTTCTTCCTGTTATCGTATATATTTTTTATGCGATTTTATTGCGTATTAGTTGTCCCTGCATTCATAATTTCTTTCAGCATATATTTTTGATTTTTATTATGTTTTTTTACCTCTCAGGTTACAATGAGATGTGGGCATACGATCATCAAAGCGTGTTTGTTTAATCGTACAAAAAGTCAGTCTCTAATCTAAACTATATTTTGTATTTTATCATGAATTTACATGCTTTTCTTTTTGATTGCTAGAAACCCTAACGTATATTTACTTTCTAAAACACAGAAATCTGTTTTGAAGCTCACGAAAAACAGAGGTTGCTCTCTCTAATGTCATTATCGTGCAAGTTATCGTCTCTGGTGGCTCTCTAAATCGACATCGATGTCGAGATTGCAAAGTCTATCGTGATAAAATTGTAAAATAGAGAGTTTCTTATGACTTTATCGTGCTGATTTGGTGTTTTTTGACTAGATCTTCGATTTGGATATATGTTCGTTTATGCTAATTTTTGGTTTGATTTGGCAAATTTAGATCTGCTTCGATTGCAGTACGAAGGATCCGACTTGGGTATATAGGTGTTTTACCTGGAGGAAAGGTAATTCCAACGAATAGACAGACAAGAAGAGCACTGAGTAATATAAACAAGAACATCATCGGAGCTCCTGTTTATCCTTCTGCTGTCAACAAGAGACCATTCACCAAGTAATTACTTATTACCTTCTTCTTTGAATGATCCTTTATTTGTAAAGTTGTATACACTTATCTTACGAACCAATTGTTTTCTCAGGAAGAATGGGATATGTAACAAGAAGATTCCACTCCATTGCATCGTCTGGTTACTAGGTCGGTAAATTTCAATTGATTTCTGCTTCAATGTCACAATTGTATTATGAGTTTGGTTAGGAGCTATAATTCTTGATTTAACTTTAGGAAATTTGCTGCTCAGTTAGCTGAGAACAATCCCCAAATTCACAAGGAGGTAACTTTATATTGACACAAATTGAATTTGGTAATTAAAAACATGACATGGTTTAGGTTGTCTAATCTCAAGTGTTTTTTTTTTTGTGGTTAGGAAACCAAGAAACCAGACTTGATTTCGAACGAAACATTAGATAGAATCATAATAGATGTGGAAGAAGGAGACTTTATTGAACCAATGTTTGTTCAACACACTGAAGCCATGCTTGAAGAGATTGACCGAATGGTAAGGTTAACAATTTAAGCCACTCTTTTTTTTTGTTGGTTACTCGGATGAAGATATATGTTGTCTTTTATCTGCAGGAAGGAATTGAAATGGAAGATTCAAATGATATTGATGTTGAAGTAGAAGAGTCTGTGATGGATATAGACAGCTGTGACAAGAACAATCCTCTAGTTGTAGTTGAATACATTGATGACATATATTGCTTCTACAAGAAAAATATTGGTTACATATGGGATTTTCATGTTCTTGCAAGCATTGGATCAGATTCTAAAGGTAAAAATCATTTATGCTTTTTCTATTTCTTTTTTTTCCGTGGGAGTTAATAGAGAGAGAGAAGAAGAAGAGCATTGAGGATTTTAATGTAGAAAGATATTTGTAGAAGACATCTTTCAAGAGAAAGGATAGGATGTGTTTGGGTGTTTATGAGCATGTTTGACTTCAGACATGGTGGATCTAACCAGAAGCTTTTGATGGATAAGAAACGTGGAAGCAAAAGAATCATAGGTTTTTCTTCTTTTCTCTTTTGGGTATTGGAATGTGTCTGAACCAAAAAAGATTCTCACGTTGTTGGTTTGATGAAACAATGCAGGTAATAATGGAATGTTTGAGACTAAGGTTGAGAAGCAGCTTACTTGTGACTGTGAGGTCTTTGTTAAGTTTTTGTTGGATTTAAGAATCAAACTTGCTTTTGTTGTGTAAAATGGTTTTGTGAGAAATGAAAAACTAAAGTAGATTGTTTTGTCTCTGGAAAGTGAAGCTGAAATGCAGAGTGTCAAGATACTAAGATGAGATTGATGAGAAGTCTAAGAAAGGTAAGAGATGTTTGTGTATTCAGCATTTTATATAAGACTCTGATGTTTGTTATGTATTGTCTAATCAAAAACCAGTTTTCAGACAACTTTACAATTGCTCTGTTTCATTACGATGGGATAGCAAGTGAGTGGAATGACGAGTTTGAGTGGAGCTAAATTTGATTCAATCTGAATGTAAGGTTGTGGCGGAGACGTTTTCAGATTTGACGTTTTCAGATTTCAAATATATATAGAACTAATTCTGTTTTTGGTGAATCAGGTTAATGTTCTTAAACCAAACCACAAATCAAAGAGATATTGAGTCTGAGATCGAGGTGAGTCAAGAAGGCAAAGTAAGGGAATTGTCATGGATAATGTTAACTCTAGATTAAAGGTGTCTTCCCGTCAGATTTTTTTCTCCCTAAACACTGTGAATATCAAATTAGACTAGATAATCACAATACATCTCTTCTTTTTCTCCTTTGTATTCTGGATACTAATTCCTCAGGTTCAAGGAAAAGCCGAACGCATTATCACAACCCTTAAATTCGAAAAAGAAGAAGGAGACATCACTCAACAAGGAAAAGATACTAACTCTTCAACTAAAGGAAGAGTTAGCAGAGATAGAGACACGAAATACAGAGTTGTACAAGGTAACAATATTATTACATTCATGAATCTCTCTTGCATTTGATCTACCAGAACACAATCATGCTATTGGTCTTTTGCAAATTTGTTCAGATTGGATGTGGTGAAGAAGGAGAACACATTTGCATGGCTTATAAAAAGAACCATTGGGTCTCATCTCTCCAATCATGTTGAGGAGTAATCAACGACGGTGGATTGAGGCGTACACGGCGGTGGCACTACCAGAGAGGTTAACTGTTAAATTTTCTAAATTCTACTCTTTTAATCTCTCAATCAAATTATCAGTAGTGGCTACATGTAATGGAGACTTAAAACGAAGGATTCAAAAGGTAAAGATTGTCCGATGCATTAATGGTTTTGTTTATATCCATGGTTGGGGTCTTTGGATATTCTTAACTCTTTTTCTTTTGTTAGTTTGCAGATTCCTGGTGTGCCGATTATGTATGTGATGACTTACGGCTATCCTGAATTCTAGAAGCTTTGGTAACAAGATCTGTGGGATAACAATTATAGAAGGGAAAGTCATGCTAATAACGTGCTGCTCTCTTTTCTTTTGGTGAGTTTCTTCAACATTTTTTTGATTTTAATTTGAAAGATGTGAGAGGTAGGTGATGTAGGTTATAGGTTTGATTTCCCCAGACGAATCCCATATCTCAGGTTTTGATTTTATCAATGTGGAAAAAGTGATAGTAATTATTTCTCATTCTTTATAGCAATTCACTTTGGTAAGCAAAAGCAAAGTGAAGCATCTGAGTATTCCACCACAAGTGACATTGTAGATTGTCTGGATTCTTCTACTGATCACTATTACTCTCCACAGATTTTGGAGACATCTATATACAAAGATTTAAGAATGATTAGATGCTTTTGCTTAAAAGGATCTGATTCGGTTTCTCATACTCTGTCTCAGTTTCTCAGCTTTCTTAATATCTCAACAAGAGGATATGAAAAGTGTTACTTTGTTAATTTCTCTTTTTTTTGCTCTCGCCTTTCTTTCTTAGTTTTTGTCTAACAAGCTTTTTCTCCTTGATTGTTTTCCGTTTTCTGATGAGACTTTGTTTTGTTCATGGGTTTCAGATTATACTTGTGAGCAGATGCAACAGGTGGCAGAGATGGTGAGAATAAGATAGCTCGAATGAGAGTCTTGGAGATGACAATGTTCAGCATAATCATCACATGAAGAGCTTACCATTGGTCCGTACCCCAGGCATACGTCGTCTTTGAAGGTTCTAGAACATTCTAACTATAAAAAGATAACTAGAATATTTATTTTAGAATCTGTCAATGATGAAATTTTATTAGTGACTTTGATCCCTTTGATTTCGTTATATTTGGAATTGGAAGTTTAATCGTATATCACCATTTGAATCAATTAAGATATTCCCACAATTATGTTTTCTAGATATGATGAGTAGGTGCTTCCAGATGAAGGTAAGAAAAGTTTAAACTTTCGTACTGATCTTTAAACTTCTTTTGTGGCCTTTGTTGTTAATTTTGGTACCTTCTTCAAATCCAATTCTGTTTTTTTTCTATGAACCTTCGATCACATATGATCGTTGGCTTTTGCAGAAACTAATTGTTCCTGTTGACCTTTGGAAAGCAATCAGAGACAGACAATTTGTCAATATTTTATCTTCCATTGTGGTTTTTGATCTCTGTTTGTTGTTGTAGACAAGGGAATCACCACTAACTCAAGGATCGATAACACATCTATATGATCTTTTGGTGAATGGTAACAGTCTCCAAATTCTCTAACACATTCTCCAAAACCATTTTCAATATCAATATCATAATCTCTGTTTCTTGTGGTTTTTGATCTTTGTTTGTTATTATAGAGGTGAAAATATATTTGCTTCTAAGTATTCAAAAGAAACAACAATTCTCCTATTGGATCTGATTTTTACTATATATAAATCACACATCTGTTTGCTATTGCTGAGAATATTCACACATGTGTTTCTTAGGAGATTTGGAAATATAGATAAGACTAGAGATGTATGAGCCTTTTCCTTGATTGAGTTTGAATCTCTTTGGATTAAAACCGGAAAATTTATCTATAAAATTATGACAGTATGAGTTTTGGAACTTAGAAAGAGTAATGGGCTTCCATATATCAATGTTTCTTCTCTAGATACTCTTTAACAGTTGTTTTGGGTCTTTAAAAAGTATATACTTGCTATGATTTGTGCAGGTAGCTCGGAATCTTGGAAAAAGTCTGCGTACATTTCATCCAACGATTAGAGAGCAGACTTTTGTTTTTTTTTTATCTCAAGACTTTAAGAAAAAAATGAGGTTAGTTTGTATATTGGCCAACTATTTTTGATTGTTTGGAAAAACTTTGCGTACATATCAGCTAACGATTAGAGAGCACAGGTTTGTTTTTTTTATCTTAACACTTTGAGCATGGTGGTAGCAGTCTCTGCCTTTTGGATTGCTCTTTTGCAGGCTGCAGTTATTTCGCGAAGCAGTACATGGTTGGTGAGTAATGAGTTTGTCATTTTCATTTTTGCTTATTACTATTCTCAATTAGCCCATATGAATAATGTATTTCTTTGCACCAGCTACCGATATACTTTGTAGTGTCCCTGGGATGCTATGGTCTATTAATAGTTTGAATTAGTCTAATGCAGTTCCTACCTGTCCTACAGATGCATTCTCTTGCAGCATGGACTTTCTTTACCCTTTTCTTAAGAGCAGTTCTCTTGCAGCATGTACTTAACCTTTTTCTTTCGTTGTTAACCTTGAATTCTCAAAGCTTATTAGGGTATAATTTAGTTCTTTGCAGAATATTACAGAGGCAAGCTAAGAGACTTCTTAAGCGTTAATAGAGCATTAACCTCTCACCTACCTAACAATTGTATTATAATATTGTATGTGGGAGATGTACTTTGAGAAATCAGGGTTAGCAATTGGAATTTTTAGGGCTTTAAATATGAGCTGAACAAGAAACTCTTCAAACACATTAATTTGTGTCGATAGTTGCATTTGTTTCTGTCTGAAACTCTGGTAATAATAATAAAAACATGCATGGTATGTAGATATATTCGTCCATTGAAATAAAAAGCACAGTACTCTTTTTCACTTGAACGGATTGTAAATAGCGTCATCATTTTATATATGTGCATTACATTTAAAATAACCACTTCAAATTGTACAATATTATTACTAAATTAATATAAAATATACATGATGTTAATACGTTTTCTCCGGGTCTTCATATATGTAGAACGTTTATTTATGTTATCTACGTGCCTAACACTTAATCGGGACCTAAAACACTTAATATGATATGCATACTGTTTTATCTTTGTAATCAAAAATTTCCCATAAACACTTATCCCACATTAATTTATACTATCAATTACTTGCCCCTACAATTTATACACAAAATTCAACTTTACCACTATATTCCTAATCAAAAATATTTTACTCAATACTACAATGAAATTCTTAAACACAAACTATATACATAGATACAAATATCTCTTACATATTAACAAAAGATTACACATGTGAATGTTTGTGTATTGCTTTATCTTTGTAATCAAAATATTCCCACAAACCCTTATCCCACATTAATCTATACTATCAATTACTTGCCTTGGAATTTATACAACAGATTTAACTCTACTACTATATTCCTAATCAAAAATATTATATTCAATACTACAATAAAATTCGTGTCAAACAAACTATATACATAGATACAAATATCTCTTACATATTAAGAAAACATTCCACCCGGGCGAAGCGCACCTGTTGATAAACGTAGAAATTATTTTCGAATTTATGAGTTTATAACTATGATAAAAAAAAAACAAGAAGAGCAAAAATGATGATTTTATGCAGCCTCATAAAAAAGCTCTTGATAAACGTAGAAATTATTTGTTGATGGTGAGTTTGGCTATAACCAGGATAACAAAAGAAAGAGAGCAAAATTAATGATTTTCTCCTGTTTGACGAAAGAGCTCTTGATAAATGTATAAATCATTTGCTAATTGAAGAGTTTTGCTATAACCATTATAACGAAAAACAATGAACAAAATTGACAGTTTTCTACAACTTTATAAAAATGTCCTTGACAACCTTAAATATCATTTGCTGGTTGATGAGTTTGGTTATAACCATGATATAAAAAAAAGAAGTTGATGGGTTTCTGCAATGTAATGAAAGAGCCCTTGATAAACGTAAAAATTATTTGCTGATTAATTAGTGTGGCTATAACCATGATAACAAAACAAGAGAACCAGAATTGACGGCTCCGATGAAAGAGAACTTGATAAATAGAAATCATTTGCAGGTTGACGAGTTTGGCTGTAACAATAAAAACAAAAAAACAATGAACAAAATTGACGGTTTTCTGCAAGCTCATGAAAAAGAACTTGATAAACGTAAAAATTATTTGCTCATTGATGTGTTTGGCTATAACCATGATAACAAAACAAGAGAAGAAGAATTGACGGTTTTCTATAATCTAATGAAAGAGATCTTAATAAACCTAGAAATTATTTGCTGATTGATGCGTTTGGCTATAACAATAATAACAAAAACTGAGCAAAATTGACGGTTTCTGCATCCTCACGAAAAAACTATTGACAAACGTAGAAATCATTTGCTAATTATGAGTTTGACTATAACCATGATAACAAAAAAAGAGGAGAAGATTTGATTGTTTTTCCGTAGTCTCATGAAAGAGCTCTTGATAAACGTAGAAATCGTTTGCTGATTGAAACGTTTTGCTATAACCATTATAACGAAAAAATGAGCAAAATTGATAAGTTTCTACAACATGATAAAAGAGCTCTTGATAAACGTAGAAAACATTTGCTGTTTGATGAGATATGATATAACCATGATAACAAAAAATGAGTGAAACTAACGATTTTTTTACAGCCTAATGAAACACCTGTTGATAAACGTAAAAATTATTTTCTGATTTATTAGTTTATAACTATGATAAAAAAAAAAAACAAGAAGAGCAAAAATGTGGTTTTATGCAGCCTCATGAAAAAGTTCTTGATAAATGTAGAAATCATTTGTTGATGGTGAGTTTGGCTATAACCGGGATAACAAAAAAAAAGAACAAAATTGACGATTTTTTTTTGTTTGA